CTCGCTCGCATTGTTTCTGATGAGAGGTCTGCTGTTAGTCTGATGGGATATCCTTTGTAGGTAATTTGCCATTTCTCTCTTGCCAATCTTAGTATTGTCTATGGTTTTGGTCAGTCTGGCTATAATGTGTCTTGGAGAAAATCTTGGGTTGATTCTATTGAGAAAAGAATATGTTAATTCATTTACTTAAAATGGGAAATAATCTATCACATGAATTGAAAATTCTTATATCAAAATTTTGGAGAACATGAAAGATTGACAAATAATCTACAAGTGGGTTTTTTTAATTATTATTTTATACAAGTGAGATTTTAAGAAGCAGATTATCTTTGTTTGGAAAGCTAATCTTTGACCACAGAAAAAGTTTTAAAAATATTTTTTCTTTGACCTCAGTTCAAATACTTTTTTTTTTTAGTGATTTTTAGTCTTATTTATTTAGCATTGTTTAATTAAGTGGAATTACTTATTTTTTTCTCATTATATTTTTATTAATTAATTTTTCTTTTTTTAAACATTATTATGCTATACATCATTACAGTATACAAAATGAATTTTCCATCCAATATTTTAAAGTCAAGGTCAGATGTCAACAAACACTCTGGCATACACACACACATACAGTATATATAGTATATATATGTATGTATACTATATGTAAGGGGCCATTGGAAGAGTTGTGGCATTTTTGCATAGAAAAATATAAAAATATGTCATGACTTTATGAATCCCTCTCTCCATACATACACACACATGCACACACATATTTATACACACACATACACACACATGTAGTTACACATGCACACACATATTTATACACACACATGTAGTATTCTCTTTGTTTTTGCTTTTAATCATTGGTTTCTACTCTATCTAATCTATCTTTCCACAGGTCTTAATGACCATTTGATTTCTGTGGAAAGAAACTGTCTCTAAATAATTCATCAGCTCTGAAACATAACAGAGTAAAAGATTTTTAATTATTAAAAACAGAAGCAGAGTCAATTTTATTTTCCTTAAATTATATAATTTATAATTACAAGATGTTCTTTTAAAATTCCCTATATTAATTCAATTAATTTTACCTTAACATATGTACACAGACACACACACACATACATATATAGATAGATAGATAGATAGATAGGTCTTAGGTTGTACAAAACAAAACCAAGTTAATATTGGGGATCAGGATCATGACATCAATGTTATTGTTGGAGAATATGAACAAAAACCATGTTGTTGAATACATTCCTGAATTCTGTAGTTAGCTTTGTTATATTCTTGCATTATTAAAGAAACTATCAAGCTTAGGCAAATAAAAGAATGTAGTGTAAATCATTGCATTATTCAAAAAAGAAACTTGATATAAGTAATATAAGTAACTCTAGCTGAGAAAGTTCATGAATAACATTATGCTGCTCAGAATGTGGTATAGAGCCAGCCAGTGGTATAGTGGGAAAGATAGCTGGAACCCACAAGGCCAACTGCACCGTTCTGGTCCTAGACCCAACAGTGGCTTCAAGAACATTTTGGATGCATGTGTGAGTGCCTAGTCAAAATTCCCAAAAGAAAATGGAGAAGAAGAGATTGTGAACTGACCATTCCCCTAAAGAGATAATTTTCTTTTCTTTTTTTTTTCTTTCTTTTTTTTTTTTTTTTTTTGATTTTTACCATAGGATACATTCTCTCCTTGGAGAGAGACACAGTCAGACAGAGGGAGAGAAAGTGAGAAATCACCTTTCTGGGAGGATGGCAATGCTGTAGTCCTTTATCCTCCATTCTCTTCTCAGGATTTTAGGCATGGTTGTACATATACCCAGCACGATTCTCAAGTCACTGGCTCTAGAAATGAACCACAGTCAGTGATGTGGAAGCCAGCATCTTAATCACTAAACTACCTGTCGGCCCCCAAGAGGATGATTTCTTACTTTCTCTCTCTTCTTTACAGTATATGCACATGTCCTATAGCACATACACACACAGGCATACACATACACAAACAAAAGTATAGAATCTGTGACTATGCTTATATCTTGGAATGCCTTTGGAAGATCATCCATGTTTGAAGACATGTTGAAAGGGTTTGCATCTGGGAAGTAGAAGTGGAGTTTCTGGTGGCTATTTTAATTAGCTATAAGCATCCAGCCTTGAAATGGACAAAGACAATGCAGAAATGTAGAAATGGGTTAAGGATTAATGACACTTAAAGAATAAAGTTTTGTTTCATTGTGTCTTGTTATTTCTAACACAGATCCTGGTCTTATGGTTGACTTCCCTGTGGAAATGTGAATTTGGAGTTTAAGAGTTAGCACTATGGCAATCTCCAACTCCAGCCATACTCTCTCCTCCACATTCATTCCTGGTTATGAAGAATATCACCACTGGATTTCCATCCCATTCTGTTTCTTCTACTTTGTTGGAATAATGGGAAACTGCACCATCTTGCATGTTGTCCGGACAGACCCCAGGCTCCACGAGCCCATGTACTACTTCTTGGCTATGCTTTCCCTCACTGACATGGGCATGTCCTTACCCACAATGATAACACTTTTTAGAGTGTTGTGGTCCATTTCCAGGGAGATCCAGTTCAATATCTGTGTGGTTCAAATGTTTTTCATTCATACGTTCTCCTTTACTGAATCATCAGTGCTCTTGGCCATGGCTCTTGACCGGTATGTGGCTATCTGCCACCCTCTGCGATATGCTACCATTCTCACTCCAAAACTGATTGCTAAGATTGGAATCACAGCTCTGCTCAGGAGTGCTATTCCATTAATTCCACTCATGATCCGTCTGACCTTTTTCTCCTTCTGCCGCTCTCACATCCTTTCTCATTCATACTGTCTTCACCAGGACATAATCCGCCTTGCCTGTGCTGACACCAAGTTTAATGTCATCTATGGTTTAGTTGTCATTATTATGATATGGGGCATAGACTGTCTGGGTATTTTTGTATCTTATGTTTTCATCCTTCACTCTGTATTAAGAATTGCATCCCATGAGGGGAGGCTTAAGGCTCTTAATACGTGTGCATCTCACATCTGTGCTGTACTTATTCTGTATGTGCCTATGATAGGGCTCTCAATTGTCCATCGTTTTGCCAAACACTCTTCTCCATTCCTCTATGTCTTCATGGCTCATATCTACCTATTGGTTCCCCCAGTGCTCAACCCAATCATCTACAGTGTGAAGACCAAACAGATTCATCAAGGAATCCTGCACCTATTTTTCCCCAAGAAAATTCATTCGGCTGTGATGTAGACATGTAGCGATGAATATTGTGATATTGGTACTAATGTTGCAAACCTAGAGTGATTGTCTTCTTAGGTATGTTGGAACCAGAATTGCCAACAAAAGATAACTGAAGGAGCAGAAGTAGAGCTAATGGGACACAATGAAAAGGCTGCACAGAAGAGAGCTGGTGATCACTGGGACTGTACACTCCAACTTCACATGTGTGTCACAGATCCTCTTTAACCATGAATTACTGGGGAGAATGTGTTGTAAATTAGTTTGTTCACTTCTGTGCTAATTTCAAACTTTATTAAAGGTGATTTATCCATCAATTTTTCTTAGATATATCCAACTCACATTTTATTACTTCTTGATATTTTTAACATATTCGGCCATGAATTCTTACACCATCATCCTTTGATATTCTGGAAATGGATTCAGCACACTTGTCCCTACCCTGCACATAACAAAATTCATGGATTATGAGGTCATTTATATAGAGATATTGTATTTTCTTACAACCTATGCAAATCTGCTGGTATAATTTTTTTTTCTTTTTCTTAGAGAGAGGGAAAGCGCACACGCCCTACAGTATGTAGAGATAAAGACAGAAATTGAGAAATCACTCCTGGGGAGATAGTCATGCTGGAATCCCTTCTTCTCCATTCTCCTGTTAGGATTTTGGACACCCTTGAACACACGACTGGTGTGAGTTTCACTCAAATTACAATCAGCCATGTGGGAATCCAATGATGTAACCATTACTCTATCTGCTCATCCCTAATTTATTTTTTTCCCAGAGAGCATATGTGCATACTGAGGAGAGACTCAGAGAAATAAAGAGAGAAAAAAAATGAGAATGTACATCCCAGAAGGCATGGTCATTTAGTAATTCCCTCTCTTCTATTTCTCTCTCTTTTAGGAATTTTAAGAAAGCATGCACTCCATGTTTAAAACAAAATGAAGAAAAATTATTATACAGATTAAAATACCATTATATGACAGATTTGTAGGTAGTTTACAGAGATAACAAGCTATGGAGAGATGTATTCATATATATGAGGTAGATATTTCTACTTTGTATTAATTATGGTCCTGTCAGGAAAAAGAAGACATGCACAAAATAGACAGTTTTAAGAATTTACTGAAGGATCATTATGAATATCTTAGAATTTATGAAAACCAGAAAAAGATATAATTTACTGAAGGATCATTATGAATATCTTAGTAGAATTTATGAAAACCAGAAAAAGATAAAAGAGAGTATTTTAAAATTTGAGAAAAAGTAGAATAAAGTTTAAGTATATTTTGGTGCAAAATCTTTGAAACCATGCATACATTTTGCATTTTATGCATTTTCCTTGAAATTTTTGAAAACTTTTCCTATATACATTATTACAGGAAGGAGTTTGATTTCACTTGTAGACCTGAAGTGACAAGCATGAAAAAGATTTTACCAGAACTGGGAACCAGCAGTTAGTGTAATGGCTATGTCGCTGGACTCCCACGTAGTCGACCGCGGTTCGCGTCCCGGACCCGGTGGCTTAAAACTCACACCGGGCGCGTGTGCGTGCGTGCCCAAGATCCCGAGAGGAGAATGGAGGAGAAGGGATTGCGGCATGATCATCCCCCCTGGGGGGTGATTTCTCACTTTCTGTCTCTCTCTGTCTGTCTGGCGAGCACACACGCCCTGTAGTGAAAACCTCTCCAACAACAACAACAACAAAAAAGATTTTACCAGAACTAATAAAGGTATTAGGGAAGCTGGCATAAAATGATCTTTTCTGAGACCTGTAGATGGTATAATGGTTATGTCACTGGACTTACACATGGCCTACTGCAGTTCAAGTCCCAGACCCAACAGATTGAAACTAACACTGGGTGTGTATGTGTACATGCCCAAACTCCTGAGAAAAAAACAGAATGGAAGCGATTGTTGCATGGCCATCCTCCTCCCACCCCCAAAACCCCCATTGGGGGAGTGATTTATCTCTTTCTGTCTATTTGTGTTTCTACAGCACATGTTTTTTTCTCTCTGAAAAAAAAAATGTTCTTTTCCCAGTGAGGTAAGATGACCACAAGAAAACCAAAGCCAGAGATTTGGTGGGGAACTGAGGAGCCAACACTCAACTTTGTATTCTGAATTCCTGTTTCATCAGTCTCCATCACAGACCAAACCAAGCCAGAAGCTAGAGAGCAAGAGGACCTGGTTAAGCAATTCATTATGGTCAGAACCTAAGCAGCGGAGATCTGAAAAATAGAACAAGCATGGCGTTTTCTCGGATGCCACCTTGAGTTTTACATTAGTATCCATACTCAGGCTTGAAGATCTATGGAGCATTTCATTCAGAACTCTAAACGTGAACACTCCTCATGACATTCTCCACAACTGATGAATCATTCAAAATTGAGTTTATGAAATGAAGTTGACAACCAATTTTTTAGTAGGAGGCACAGGCGTTTTCATTTTCTTCCTCTGAGTAATATGTGAGAGTGCTTCAATAGTTCATGGGATAGGTCAGTCCTGTAACCTAGTGGTTAAGGAAACTAGATCCCACCAAGCCTACTGAAGTTTGAATCCCAGCCTTAGTGGCTTAAGAAAACATGCCAGGCTCTTGTGTTGAAGCTCTAAATCCTGATGGAATGGAGAAATGAAGTAAGATTATGCCATGACCACATTCCGTTTGGGTGCTTTCTTCTCTTCTCTCTCTTTCTCTGTCCCTCTGAGGGAAGCATACATGCCCTGTGATAATTTTAAAACATTCCTTGGAAAATAGAATTCAAATACATGTATATTTTGGTGAAAATTTTTGAATTTCTTCATACTATAAATTTTTCATTCTTTTGTTTTGTTTTTGTTTTTGTTTTGGCATAAAGCACAAGCGCACATGTGCTTACTGGAGAGAGACAAAGAGAGAAAAAGTGAGAAATCACCTCTCCTTCCCCCAGGGAGAACACCATGTCACAGTCCCTTCTCCTTCAGTCTCTTATAAAGATTTTGGGCACACACACATGGGTGCCTGGAATGATTTTTAAACTGCTGGATCCAGGACAGTTGACCATGAGGAAGTCCAGCGCCTTAACCATCATGCCACCTCCTGTCTCCCATACTATGTATCTTCTAGAAACTTTGAGGAAACTCCTGTCACAAATCATATGACAAAGTAGTTTATTTGTGTTG